ATGAGAGATTGAGCATATAGGTAGCCATGCTGATATTGTATCTCCTTCACTTATGTGCTCTTAAAACTGGGTTAATGCAGAATAGCAGAGAAAGAAAGTAACTGGTTTGGTTGAATGTCATTTTGTTGGGTTTGGAACTGTGGAACCTTGTGCTATAAATTTTTCCACCACCTAAAAGGTCTTTTCCCCATGTCCAAGACACCAGCAGGTCATCTGAACCTGTGTCTAAGACCTCCAAATTAGTTAGTGGTGACATATGATTTGTGAGATCTAGCATTTAGAGGTTATCCGTCATGGGAAGAGACGTTAGGGAATATGAGAGTACGAGTATGCCCACATCTTGCATCAAATTTTGTCCTGGCCCCACTAGTCGAGAGTGAGCGATTCATTTTCCATATGATATAACCCGGTGAGGACCTAGATTGCTTGGTCTTGATTCTGATGTCCTGAATTCTATGCATGAGGTGATTGTGTTGAATGCGCGGCTGAGTCGAGTCTATGTTGGTCGATGAACAGAAGGGGGGATCTTCCTTTATCTGATTCTGCTGCACTCGAATGTCATCGGTGGTGGTTGTCCATGTGGTTGTTGTTGTTATTCATGTGTTGATGCCTAGTAGCCAGTATGATTCACGTATTTTGTGCCTCATATGTCCCTAAACTTTGCATGGTTAAAACATTTTGAGCTTACCGGGTGTCTGATTCGGTTTGCTTGGGGACAAGCAAACGGTTAAGTGTGGGGGAATTTGATAACATTATAATCAAACATGTTTTTTCCCATCATTTCTTGATCGTTTGAGTCTGGTTTATCGCTCTCGTGGCCTGTTTTACTCTTATGTGTGTTAGTTTATGAGGTTTCATGCCTTTGTGCGTGAACGGGCGTGAAGGAGCGTGTTTCGGGACATTCTGGAGCGAGTGGACAGAGAGGACCTGGGAGGTACGACCAGACCTTGCAAGTTACGGTCTGGCCCGTAACTTCCCTCAAGGTGCCGTAACTGGTGAGTGGAGAATGCAAGGTTCCAGAAAGTTTTTTGGAGTTACGGCCAGACCTTCAAAGTTACGGTCTTGGCCGTAACTCAGCCTTTGCACCTGTAACTCCTAGGTAGCAACGACATCAGTTCTAGAGACGTTTTTGGAGTTACGGTTTACCCCTTCAAGTTACGGTCGAGGTCGTAACTCCTCCAAAGAAGTCGTAACTCTTGGTTTATGGGGTGCAACAATGACGCCGTTTTCTGGAGAGTTACAGGAGGGCAAGCCAAGTTACGGTCATAACTCAGGCCGTAACACGCTGATTCTCATCTTATAAAAGAGCTGCTCGGGAAAAAGGCAAAGGATGCGGATTTTCTGAGTTCTAAAGGCAGAAAAAAGAACCATAGAGAGTGTGACGAAGAGAAGCCCTTGGGCAAGGATTGGAGCGATCTGAAGTCTTCTGAGCTCGATTCCTCAACCTCGGAGTACCGATTAGCCGCCAGGAGCAGATTCCCATTGTCATTTTGAAGATGTCTTCTCCGAGCATGACGTTCTCACATCTCTCTATTGACAACCACCAAACCATTTCCGGCTACGAGCTCCCGCCAACTAGGAATGGAAAACGGTGCGGTCTTGTGTAGACCATGACATATATGCGGTCTACGGTGCAAAACGAGAGGCTAAAATATAGACCACAGACCATACCACAAACTATACGGTCCAGACCATGCCTATACGATCTGGTCTGGTATGGTCTGGTCCAGATACACCACACTGAACGAAACATGAGCAATTTGATTAGTCAACCACACAACAAATTGTGCCAATAGCTAAGAAAAACATACTTTTTTATGGCATAAATTAAAATTCCAAATGCATGAATAATTTTACACTGTAACTCTCAGTAAATTACAAAGATACAAATTCAAAGCATCACAACTTGCATCATAACGTCATAAATATTAACATTATATCATATGGAGACACAATCATCTTTATTCTCTGGTGAAATGTGATTGTGAATGAAAGAGGGGATGAAATTCTCAAAATTAAGATTGAGACCTGGGTATCGTCGATGGAGTTGGGAGAGTGCTTGAGTGGGCTGCTAGCAAGTATTAAGAAGTCGGTTGGGTCCACAGTTTGGTCCGATAAAATGCAGTCTAGAACATACCAGACCAAGAGATCAAAACATCATATAATACAGACCATGGACTAGAGCAGACCATACTTAACGGTCTACAGTCCGGACCAAACTCTACGGTCCGGTTTGGACCATGGTTTTTCAAACGGTCTTGTCTATTTTCCCAGCCCTACGCCCAACACTCACGCCTTCTTTGTCTTGCCCACTTATCGACTGCCACCATAGGCTTCGGAGAGTCGGATTTCCCCGTAAGTTGCCGTCGTCGCTGGCCTCCTCGCTGGTGCTCCATGTTAGCTTCCAGATGTCGAAGGAGGTGCCGTCAGCGAAAGGCAGGACGCTTGGTTTTTGGGGAGGGTTTTAGTTGGTGACGGCTTCTCGTCACTTGGCATCATCGTTGTTGCGCTACTCTCCGTCAGAAAGCTTGGGTTTTGGGGAGGGTTTTAGTTGGTGACGGCTTCTCGTCACTTGGCATCATCGTTCCATCCATAGTTGGTGGAAGCTCGTAGGCGGGTATGGTTTGGTGGTTTTCGTTTATTTTAGGCTTTCCAAACGCATGATTGTGGCGAAATTTGGGAAGGTGAGGGATTGTGAGAAAATCAAGCACTACAATCCCTAATCCAAACAGCCCCTTAGTTATTTTACTGATGATTATACTGTGGAAGATCCGAAAATAGCTTGAAATCTCTAAAGTTGACCAAGCCCTCTTAGACAAAGTACCCGGTGGGTGACTAACCTCAATCGAAATAAAATGTTAAGGCAATACACAAATATCCCCTCTACTAGAGTGAATTCCAGTAAAGAACAATGAATTGATCGGCTCTCGCACAATCAATTCATCACTTCATTGTGAAGAAACTCTCTTAACCCAATTAGATTTTATCACTCTGACTCGTCCCAAATACCACAATAAAACCCCTAATTAAGGCCCAAGTATAAACCTCAATTGGATGCAATATAGGGCAAGTATGTTTAAATGTCGATCAAGGCCGGTTCATGTACCCCTACTTCAATTGTTTGTAACATTACCTAGCAATTGATTTTTGGTGAAAACAACGATCTATAGCTAAAACGTTTGGAAAAGTAAATGGATTTGACACTTTTTGAGAAGGCTTCACCCGGGTGTTGCTCCCCCTAGCTAACAATTATGACTTGTCGGATCGAATGGTCATGTGTTGTAAGGTGGTTGTAAACCGTAGGAAAGTACAACAAGTAGCCAAACGCCACTCTCTCAGTCTCTAGGTCAAGGGAATTCGATTCAAGCCGCCAAAGTGGCTCTATTGACCTATTGACTAAGGGTTGCCAAGACTTCACCCTCGAATCAGAGTTCGAACGACCAAATTACAACCAAACCTAGGTGCTAATACGAATAAAGAGGGTTTCCCTACATTAAACTAGATAGGAGACAAGATTTGCCTAAAAAAAACCCATCTTTATAAGCCTCTTTCAAAGAAAGGGAGTTTTCTCTCTACCTAGGTTAGAATGGCCAATAAATTGATAGGCAAACACACAACACAATCTTTCATGAAAATACCTCCACATTCACATTACAACACATCCACACACTAATCATTCAATCCATACAAACATTCACATAATTGTAGCTAGGGTTTACAAACACTCAAGTAAAAGAAGGGACTACTCCATGCTAGGAGAAGGGAAAACACAAGAGAGAAGAAGGAAAACCATCATGGAGATGCTAGTCTTGCTCCTTGTGTTGAAGAGATCCTCGTTTTGGGGGAGGAATTCCCAAATCCTTGCTTGAAGATGAAACCTTAGCTTCTCCCCTTCTTTGGTTCGTCACTTTCTCACTCTGGAAATCTCAAGAAGAAGAAGTTTCTCACACTAGGTCTCTCCCTTTTTTCCTTCAGCTCAAACCTCCTTTTATACCCAGATTGGGTTTAGATCACAGTCTCAGCTCGCGGTCGTGAACTGAAAGCACGGACCGTGATCTCGAGTCAAAACATGTGGAATCACTAAGCCGAGTTCACGGGCAATGGCATGAGTTCACGGTCTTACGACCGTGAACTGACTTGAGTCCAGTGAAAGTGAAATATGCTCTGGATGCCTGGCGTTTCACGGCTAGCGGCTCCATTTCACGGTCTTAGTGACCGTGATCTGCTACTGCTTTCACCCTTTTACTTGATTTTTCGCCCTTTCGTCCAACTGTCGACTCCGGGTTGGTTCCACCTGCCATAGTCTGAAAAACACCAAAACTAGGCAAAAACCCGACGTAAAACCAAACCTCCCAGAATAAAAAGAGCTCAAACGACTAAGGAAATCGGGGGTAAAAAGTGTACAAATGACCTCGAATCACACTCTTAGGGATACAAGTGACAGAAAGACTAAACTATAGTCTCTTTTCTTGTATTAGGCCTATTATTTTTCTATTAAACCCATTATTATTATTGTTGTTGTTATTATTATTATTATAGCTTCAGAATCTCCCAAGGTTGTCAACCCATTGGTTGAACCGTCGGTTGACCTGTTTTGACTCAAACTTGGTGAGAAAATCAGACCACACACACCTTCGGATCAACCCGTTGTAAGGCTACCGGGTTGGAGGTCACATGGTGTCTTTATTTCCTATGGTTGGTAAAATTCCCCTCTTTTCCATTTTTCCTATTTGTCTAAGTCTATTTTTGGAATTCTAAGTTGAACCGTTTGACTATGGATGTAAATAATATAAGTGTGCAAATTTTCAATATGTTAGATCCAAGTACGATCTATTATTTTGGAGTAATGTTATATATGTTATTAGTTATTACTCATTGATATTTGAATATAATTTATAAATATACAACAATATAATATCCGACCTACGATTAACCCATTTATTTGACGGGACTTACTGTTACTTCCTGTTTAAACCGGGATGACAACCTTGGAATCTACCCCCCATATCACCATAACAAGTCGTTTTCAAAACACCCCGCCCCACTCTCCAGAGTCTCTGAATATACATATGCCCCTACTCTGCCTGCCTTGTATATTCTCCTCTTTTCCCTCTCTGCTTTCTTCTTCTTCCTCCTCTGCTTCCACTTTTAGATAGAGTATTTACTCTATACATTACTCTCCCCCCTCCATCCCGCTCCCTGCCTCTGTCTCTCTCTCTCTCTCGTAGCCTTTCTTCACTTGTCTCTCGCTTTATCACTCACCCACACTCTCTCCCTCCCTATATATACACACACATTCCACCTCTGTCTAGTCACGTCCACACGCCGTTCTTCCTTCATTCCAACATACTATATCCTGCTGCGATTTGGTTCAAGTAGCTTAACAACATGGAAGTAAGTCGAATCTCTGTTTCTTACTCGTTTAATTTTGCGACTCTGCTTCGTTAATTGTGAACCAATTAACATACGGGTTTGGTGAACATTTGTTTGTATAGGAGGAGTATTACTACCGGGGAGGGCATGTGCCGGCGTTTGGAAGCTGGGACTGGAACAACGACCTTCCTTTCACTCAGTGCTTCGAATCCGCCCGCCAGGCCGGCTTCCTTCGCTACAGCTACTCCGAGGATCCAGATCTGTACGTCGCCGGCGACTTGTACCAGAACGACGTCGTCACTCCTACCGTCATCGTCGTCCCTCGCCGCCCACGCGTACGTCGGTCTTACCTTTTAATCAATTTCCTTCACTCATTAACTCAGACAGTAAAGTAGAATTAAAAAGAAGGGGGAAAAAAAACAGAGTAATGAAGATTCATGAAAAGAAGTTCATACCCACTTTAAGATACCAAGAAAAGTTTCAATAGAGAAGAAAAGCGAGCGAACCCACGTTGGAGAAATGATAATGTCGCTCGCTCACTTTTTGTCCAACCTCCTTTCAATAGAGGAATTCCCCAATTCTGCGGCCCTCGGTCTTGTTGCGGAAGGAGAATTGTATTGTTGGGCAGAGCAGACAGCAGAGTCATAAAACTATGCTATTATTGTTGGTGTATGAATGGGAACTAATTGATGATGTTTACTTCTGCAGCAGCAAGGGAAAGTGCGTCAGTCCCGCACCAAACAAGGCAAAACAATGGAAAAGCAACAGCAGGCAGAAATGGGGACGAGCCCGCCTCCAAAATCTACAGCTACTACAAATACTTCACTCCCGCGCTCCAAGCCGAAGCCGGTGGACGAAGATCTGTACAAGATCTCGCCCCACCTTCTCTATGCATCAACCAAACCCAGAAAGGCAAGAACCTGTTTTTCATTTGCAGCAACCCCTGTTTTGTCTACTACATTTACTTTATCAGCAAAGGTGTAATCGTAATCGATGGATCTAATTGATCGGGGGAAATGATGTTTACAGAAGAAGAGGAGGGCGTTTGGGATCTGGTCAAGCTGCTTGCTGCCTACCTGCGTCGTTTGAATCTGATGGTGCATGCGTCTCCACCTAGAGAGTAGAGACTGGGTGGTGCAGTACATATTCTTATTGTTATCAATTATAAATTTTATAATAGATCATGATGGTGAAGGACTGAAGGTAGAGGAGATTAAATATGCACTATTATCATTACTTCATTATTATTAGCATGGTTGAGGATGGATTAATTGCACGGGGTTTGCTTATATAATTATTATTGATATTCTTGTAGTTAACTAATCGATCGGTAGTAGCTAGTTATGTGAGAAAGTAGGAGGATAGGAAGCAATTTAGCGTTTTGGGGGGTTGACTTGATTCCCTATTTTGGGTTGAACAAAGCTCTCTCTATCTGATGTTTGGGTTTATTATTATTATTATTATTATTATTTTGGTCGAATTTGGGTTTATTTTCATGAGTGGGGTTTGTATCTCTTTGTATTATATTATGTCGAGAAAGAAAAAAAGGACAATTGCTCTTCTTTTCTCTTCCCACTTACTTTCCCTGCTAGAGTGGCTAATTTAATTAGAGGGTTTATCATTAGTTTCACATTTTGTCATGTAATCGTACTAGTGATCCTTCTAATTTAATACTCATTTTATGTTTGGTCATTGATCATTAACTTCTGTATCACCTCATTAACACAACTAGTTTTTTATGACATAATAAACAGAAATTTTGAGTTGGCTGTAAAATTACTGGGGAAAAAAAATTAGCCGAATCCAACGAATTTAATTTGAACTAAAATAAACTCGACCTGTGCAGTAGGAAAAAAAAAGCATGCCTAATCAACTTTCAAAACCAACCACTGACCCACTATTCTTTTTTTTTTTTTTTTAATTAACGTAGCAAAACTTATCCTAAAAAAAATAATGTTCCTCTTCCCCATCTCCTTCGCGGTGAATTGTGTTCGGCGAGGGCGGGCTAAGATCAGGTGACTAAGGGGGTCCCTTAGTCACTTGCCTAAGTCGATCTCAACCCTTCAACCTCATTAAAATCTAATGGCTCCAATTAATTCAATTTAATGAAGGGTAATGAAGTAATTGCATAGTTCATGATTATTTTATATTTTAATAATTAAAATTAAAAAGAGGCGCACTTTCCTCCCCGCTGCCGCTCAAACTTTTCCGGCGTACTCGCGCCGTCCAGGATTTCCGGCGGCCACCATTTTTTTGTCCCAAGAGAGAATCGTCGGTTCCTTCCACCATATTTTTTTGTCCCAGGAAATACGTTCCCCTTCCCCAGAGAGAGAGAGAGAGAGAGAGAGAGAGAGAGAGAGAGAGAGAGAGAGAGAGAGAGAGTTTTTTTGGTCGGGCAATTTTTTGATCGGAAACTTTTTCCGGCGAACATCGTCGCTGGAGAAGAATTTCCCGGCGACAGTGCTAATTTTGTGATGTTTATTGACATATTTTGTAATGTTTGTATGCTTTGTTATTTTGTAATGTTTGTCGTTTTTTTTGTAATGTTTGTAAACTTTGTTATTTTTGTTAACCATGTTTGTAAACTTTGTCATTTTTGTGCACCATGTTCGTAATGTTTTTTATGTCTAAAAAACACCCGGGTTGACTTTGGGAAGAAGCCCCTCTATATAGGGATGGAGCCTCCAAAGTCAACCCGGGTGTTTTTTCCCGTTCGTATGGATTGTCGGTCTAGTTTGTCATTTTTGTCCACCATGTTCGTACTGTTTGTATGTCTAAAAAACACCCGGGTTGACTTTGGGAAGGAGCCCATCTATATAGGGATGGAGCCTCAAAAGTCAACCCGGTTGTTTTTTCTTTTTGTATGGTTTGTATTGTTTGTCGGTCTAGTTTGTATTGTTTGTACAGTTCATACGTTTGTAATGTTTGTATGTTTTGTCGCTATAGTTTGTACTGTTCGTATGTTTGTATGGTTTGTACTGATTGTAAATCCGGTTTGTATACTTCGTAATTTTCCATAATACCCAAACTACCCCTGTCATTAATTAAATAACCCTTCCCACTTTTTAACCATTAGATTGAATTGTCCAGATCTAAGGGCTGGGAGGGGCTTAGTCAAGTGACTAAGCACCCCCCCTTAGTCACCAGATCCGCTCTCCGGCGAGGGCCGAGGAGGTAATGGTGATTCTACGATAGAGGGGACACAATTAAGAACTTGTTTGGGGAGATTGGTCATTAACTCAAATTGTCCTCAAGCTGCAATGTAGCATCGTGGAGGATTTGGTGTGTGACGAAACCACCCAGTATGAGTCAGTGGCGGATTCAGACAATTTTCACAAGGGTGTCCTCTTTAAAAATTAAATTTAATTAAATAATAAATTAAATAATTCATATATTAAAAATATCATACTTGTATAAAATTTTTATTAAAAAATTCAGGATGTGTTTTCATATTTTGAAAAAATAATATAACATAAACTCTGTCTCTGCACTGTTCAAAAAAAATCTACATATCCTACTAGACAATACTTCATGAACTTATCACATATTCGATTTCTAACCTTGTTCTTAATGTAGCTCAAAGTAGAAAAGACACTTTCAACACTTGCCGTGTAACCATAAAATCAATTCAAAATTAAGGGTAGCGTGTACGTAGTTTAATTATTAGGTATTGAAAACAGTTGGGGATAAAAAAATAGTGTTTTACTATTGCATGATGTTTAAAATAGAATAACAAATGAGTAGCAACATAATTAGAATATGTTTGATAATAGTAGTGTCCTAGTTTGGAATAACACGGACTACCACTTATATTTTATTAATCATAAGCAAACTATTATCGAGAGTAGGATATATAATATTTTTTCAAATGTTAGGGTGTCCCGGATTACTCATTATATTTTGTATACCCATACGAAACTACTACTGCAGGTTGGATAATCAATTTCCCAAATTTTAGGGGTGTGGCTCATGTAGCCGCCCCTGGTCTGAGTACTACCTATTCTAGATGGAACAATGGTCGAGATTGTGGTGGCGTGATTCCATTGCCGATGGCAGACGATCAACATCTGAAGGAAAGAGAACTGGTTAGGGGAAAGAGATGCAGAAGAAATTTTTGTATCGAAATGCAGAGAAGAATATTTTAATAACAAATGTGAGGTAGAGTGAAAAACTTCAGTAATATTTTAATTGTTAGTAACTCGTTAATCATTTTTTAATTAATATCATTAGGTCCCTCGCAACGAGGTGCAATAGAAGCAGATACAATACAACTATACAAGCATGGTAACTCGTTATTTGAAATGGCGCTGTCTGTGTGTCTAGGTTGGGCCAATGGGCTCCATTAATTAGTTAATTAATTATGAGAATTTCCCATGAACACACACCACCTTTCCTAAGTTGAGAAGAAAAAGCATTATTAGACTATAGAATAGACAGGAAAAAACAAGGGATTGCGGGTGGGATCTCATCTAATCTCATCTCATGCACAAGCACAACCAACTTCACGAGAAGGCGACAGGAAATTGAAACCCACATTTAATTTAATTTAATTTAATTATTCTATTTTTGTTGCAACCACAGAAGAGAAGAGCATGCTGAAGGAAGACTGGTGGTTGGGTCACGTGCCTTGCCTTCTTTTCTGCTGCGGAGGCCTGACCTGAGCTGAGCTGTGGCTGACTTGCAGCCTAGGGGAGGGCATGGTCTCATCTCATTCCACGCCTGGGGAACTCCCCACAGACCCGAGCTTGCCCATTCACGAATCCTATTCAAAAAGGCTAAAGAAATTTGCTTTCATTCATTGACTTCAGGGTTTGGGGCTGCATGCTTAACAAACGTGACCAAGAAAATTAAATAAAAGAAAGGGTGTGTTAGGCAATTCAGCTCGCTAGGTTCATAATCATCATGTCTCAAATTTTACTCCGCATATCCCAAAACATAAATTACAAGGATAATATCTAATGTTATAGTCGTGGTTTAACGGATATATAGTATAAGATATGATATTTTGTTCAAATAATACAAAATAAAAATAACACTTTTAGTCGGCAATATACCTATACAATAGTACCAATCAAAATTTACTGTTATATGATCCTGAGTAGACATTTTTATTTTTATTTTTTTACCCCGTTTTAACGACCATTAGAGACTATTCCATATATTTGTATACACTCACCTTGCTGGACGTAAGTGATTTTTTTTTTGTATAATCGTCATTATGGTACGGTACAACAAACCATTCTCCTAATTATTATTTGGGTTAATACCTTAGTTTGGCCCGAACTATAGACAAACTTTCTACTTTGGCCTGTGGTATCGGAAATTGCTATTCTGGCCTAAACTATGTAACATACTTTCTTATTTGGCCCCGAGGCGGGTTTGACCGTCAAATTAGACAGTCAACCGAGTTGACCGTTAGTCAAAGTCCACCTCACTTGCCACGTCAGCTATCAAGGAATAAAAAATTATTATTTTTTGAATTTTTAAGTTTTGTTTAGTTTCTAAAATTAAATAAAACAATATGGGGACCTTTTTAATTAATTTTTTTTCGTTTATTATTTTTATTATTAGAAAGTAAAAAAAATTCAAAATACAAAATTAATTTTTTATTTCCTAATAGCTGATGTGGCAAGTGAGGTGGACCTTGACTAACGGTCAACTGGGTTGACCGTCTAATTTGAAGGTAAAACCCGCCTCCGGGCCAAATAAGAAAGTATGCTACATAGTTTAGGCCAGAATAGCAATTTTCGATACCACGGGCCAAAGTAGAAAGTTTGTATATAGTTCGGGCCAAACTAAGGTATTCCCTTATTATTTCTAGGCAAAATACATTTGTATAGCCATAACTTTCACGTTTTTGACAAATATAGCCATAATTATCCAAAAACACAAAATAGCCAATTCCGTCCATTTTGTTAACGGCGTAAACTGACGTTATGACTAGACTAACAGAAGACGCTGAGTTGGGGATTGAGTTACCCCACCAACCTACGTGGAATTAAAAAAAATCACAAAACCAGAAAAAAATGAAAATTAATCCTCCTCCCAATCTCTTCCCCTCTCGCCGAGACTTATTAAACGCCGGCCTTACTGACTCTCTCCGTCTCCTCTGCCTCTCCAGACTCTATTTCGACGTCCCTGAGATTCGCCGGCGGATCAATTTGGCAGGTATCATTTTCGTTTACTTTTCTTGACCGGAATTTCATTGAATTAACTTGAGCCTGTCTTTCCCCCATTTTCATTCACGACGACGATACATGTAAAACGGTTTCAGAAAGTAGAAAATGTAAAACGGCTTCGACCAAACCCTACCCCAATTCTCTGATTTGGTCCCTCGAAGCTCACGTAGACTCTGTTCGTTGCAAAAACAGAAGGCGGGTTGAGTAGACGCGATGGCTGTTGATGACTGGGCGCGACGCAGAACTGAGACGACGGGCTGCTAGTCGTCGAGGTGATGGCGGCGGAAGATCTAAACATAACAACGTCGATCCAGATCTGTCTGCTCCGGCTCCTCTAGTCGTGAGATGGAAAAGGAAGATGAAGATATTGAAGCGGTGGGATTTGTGATCTAGAAATTTGGAAGAGATGCGATGATTTTGTAACAGGGGAGAAGACGAGTGGGATTTGGAATTTGGGAAGGAAGATGGGAATGGGATTTGGAATTTGGGTGGCAATGAGATAGAGGGGATGA